CACGTGCCTCAACCTTACACAAATGTAAAAGTTCAGTGCTATTGAACTGTCAATATATTCTTCATATAGATGTTTAGGATACTTTTCTTAATAAAAAGATAGGATGCAAATTCAATAATTAATAAAATAATGGGCTTGAACTGTGGTTGTGCAATAGGAATATGTTTGTAGGTATGAGTGTTATGACTGAAATGGAGCCTGCCAATCAGGTTCTATTGTAACTCATGAGAGTTGTAAATTTGGTCATTCGTGTGACTGCCCAGATTTTATATTTTTTGCAAGTGGTTGTAAACCAAACACCAGTGTTATATACTGAACTAGTCCATGGTTCTCTATCAAAAGTAAATGCCAGTTTTTGGCAAAACCATCATAAAACAAGCTCATGTGACTGTAGGATACTGCAAATGGCTGTCAATGTGGCCCAGTTGTCAATGCCTGAGGCGTCATGTGACTATAGGAAGCTATCAACCTTGGAATTTGAAATCTGAGTTATAAGTACTCCCCAGGTAGATCCATTGTAACTTCCAATGATCGCTAAGTGACTGGTTTTAAGTTGAAGTTCACCTCTAATGCACCATTCTAGAAGTCCACCTTTAATGCCGCACCAGAGCTGCAGTGGCGTAGTGGTTAGAAAGCAGTATTGCAGGCTACTTCTGCTGACTGCTGGTTGCCTGTAATTTGGCAGTTCGAATCTCACCAGGCTCAAGGTTGACTCAGCCTTCCAGCCTTCTGAGGTCAGTAAAATGAGGACCCAGATTGTTGGGGGCAATATGCTGATTCCATAAATCGCTTATAGAGGGCTGTAAAGCTCTGTCAAGCAATATATAAATCTAAGTGCTATTGCTATTCTTTGCAAATAGTTGCTGTGTATCATTTAAACAATTTTAGTATGTTAGTTTGCAGTATCCCCTATATAATTAATTCTTTTACTTTGTAGTTTTTTTTAAAAAAACGTAAGTATTCAAGGAATGAAAAAATAGGATAAATTTGGAATAAATAAGTAAATATAGCTACATAAAACATTAAATGTTTTGTTTAGTAAACTTGCAAAAATGTAGAGAAATTATGTTCCTTTAAAACTGTCTGTTTTCAAATATTTGTAAATATCTAAGATTTATTTTGTAATTTGCATGAATCAGTATAATTAAACATATAGCCTTTATATACTGCTTTGGACCTCAGAACACTATTTTGATAGTGATTCTGCATAATTTTTATAATATGCCATCTGCTAACCCTTTTTCTTGCATTAAACAGATCTGTGGAACCTATTAGTCAAATGATAATTGTTGTATAAAATAAATTATCTGTTTCAAAATAACTCTTGAAACACTCTATTAAGATATCTCAAAGCATAAACATTATTCTTCTGAGGTTGCATGGTTTAAGGAGATGGGTTTGTAGCTGACAAATATTAGTTGGGCAAAACATGCTGCCTCTAAATTTAATTAAAAGAATTTTTAAAATGTTATAATAATATAAAAGTTATTTTTTTATATAAAAGGTTATTTTTTTATTAAAAACATGGAAAATATCTCATTTGTGGCCTGATTTATTTTTATAAATATTTAACTTCCATTAAAACTGTTAGAGATTTGCTTGCAAAGGAAGCATTGATTCATAATGTAGCCCGGACATCTCAAATATGGTATCCGTGAGCACAAAACTCTGCCTACTAGGCCAGAGTGTAATCTGTGCCAAATGATTTCTAGGAAAGTGAATGGATTGATTTTCACTTGCCAAGATTTTTTTTTACACATGTGCGCACGTGCGCATGCATGCACACACACAAACACACACAGAGGGATGTGCTGGGGGGCTTTGGATTTCAACTCCGAGAATTCTTCAGCAAAGCTGGCTGATGAATTATGGGAGTTGAAGTCCACAAGTCTTAAAGTTGCCAAGGTTGGAGACCCCTGTTCTATAGAGCCAGGACCAATTGCCTTTTCATACTACATTGCAGTTTGATGAAATACAGCTGGAAGTTCTCAAAACTAGGAGTGGTTTGCATATTTGTCTATGTGTAGAGGGGCTATACACAAATTTTTGAATCATTTTTGACTCCTGGTTGACTGCCTGGACAAGTTCGTGCAGTTTTCTTGGCAGTATTTTCAGAAGTGGTTTGCCATTCCTTTCTTCCTAGGATTGAGCGTCTGGCTCAGGATCACCCGTAGGCTTTGTGTTTAAGGCAAGATTAGACATCCTCCTCTCCTGGTTTCTATCCTGTTGTTTTCACCACTACACCAAACTGGATGTGTGATGACATTACATAGACAGACATTTTCTGTAACATCGTGTTACCTTGATGTTTTACAAAGCAAATTTATATTGATAAATTACGTTAGGAAAATGCAGAAATAAAGCAAATGAAACAGAGAACAGGTGCAGGTTTTATATTTCCATTTATCTAAAAAAAATAGTTTGCTTCAGCGACTGGTTGAACCTTGGTGACTTCATTGGCAATTCATGGTAGCCCTATTCCCAGTCTGAGCTGATTGTCTCTGAGAGAATTCACTTGAAGTACTTTGAACAATCCTGGCAAAAGATGGGGAAGAAATGGAGGTAGTGACAGATTTTATTTTCCTGGGCTCCAAGATCACTGCGGATGGGGACTGCAGCCAAGAAATTAAAAGATGCTTGCTCCTGGGGAGGAAAGCTATGGCAAATGTAGACAGCATACTAAAAAGCAGAGATATCACTCTGTCAACAAAAGTGCATATAGTCAAGGCTATGGTTTTCCCAGTTGCAATGGATGGCTGTGAAAGTTAGACCATAAGAAAGGCTGAGCGCCAAAGAATTGGGGCCTTTGAACTATGGTGCTGGAAAAGACTCCTGTGAGTCCTTTGGACTGCAAGGCAATCAAGCCGGTCAGTCCTAGAGGAGATCAACCCTGACTGCTCTTTAGAAGGCCAGATCCTGAAGATGAAACTCAAATACTTTGGCCACCTAATGAGAAGGAAGGACTCACTGGAGAAGAGCCTAATGCTGGGAACGATTGAGGGCAAAAGAAGAATGGGACGACAGAGAATGAGGTGGCTGGATGGAGTCACTGAAGCAGTAGGAATAAGCTTAAATGGACTCCAGAGGATGGTAGAGGACAGGAAGGCCTGGAGGAACGTTGTTGTGATGGGTCGGACACAACTTCACAACTAGTAACAACAACTTTGAACAAGCCTGTTGTATCTGCTTAGTTTAATAGTATTTTCCCTTTTTGCGTAGTTGCCCTTGAAGAGTTTCCTCCCCCCCCTCTCCCTCCCTTTCTCTCTCTTGCATTTTACTCATTAAGACGTTTTGTAGGTAATTCCATTTACTTTCGAACATGTAAACCTTTATGCAGAGTTTTTAAATTAAACTGTAAAGGCTTGTAACATGGAAAGAAAATGTAGAATCCTAGGAAGCTGCCTAAACTGATCACCCTATCTTTGCAATGTCCTTAATCACTGTCAGTGATCCATTAGAGTTTCTGATAAGAATTTTTTCCCAACTGGAGATAATAGTAACTGAGATTCTATTGATAGAAAGTGATTGTTTATAACCCACTGTAGATTTCACTTTGTTAAGATAATATATGCATCCAGGGTGAAATCCAGCAGGTTCTGACAGGTTCTGGAGAACCGGTAGCAGACATTTTGAGCAGTTCGGAGAACTGGCAAATACCAGTGGGGAGGGAATGGGGATTTTGCTATTTGTTTTGTTATTGAACAAACTAAAAAATAAAGCCCTAAAACAAAGTTAAAAAGAAAACAGAACACAACAGTACAGAATAGAATAGCTTTATTTGCCCAAGTGTGATTAGTCACACAAGAAATTTGTCTCTGGTGCAGAAACTCTTAAAGAAACTTTAAGGTGCAACTAAGGTAAGAGCGTAATCTAAAAGACATCTTGCTAAGAGTCTCCACACAAGTGGAATGAGAATTATATTAAGAGATACTTAATCCCTTTGTATTTGCTTAACATTTGGAAAGGAAGAAAGAAAGCTTCATGCAGAGATCTTCTGAAAACAGATAATTCTGCTGTGGTGCTACGTTGGTACTTGGCATTTATCAATAATTTCAAATCTCGTATTTTAGTTCTAGCAAATCCTGATTGCAAAGAGGCAGGATGAGAACAAGCAGTTATCTGGTGGGCAGCCTCCTGCACAAATTGAAATTATTGGGCTATGATACACTTTTTTTAAATCAAAGAGATATTACTTATGGCAAGTAGCTGGGTTGAAGAATATCTTTCCAGTGGTACCGAACATGATTTACTGCATTTCACTTATCTTATATCATTGAAACCAATAAAAAAACATCAGCCGAAGGGACAAATTTACTACCTTTTAGGTGGTTGGAGAACTAGATTTGCTTTGGAAATCCGAATCTAATATATAGTTTTGCAGGGGATGGTGTCAACAACAGAGTCCATGACATGAATCCCAAAAGCTTCAGATTTAGTCCCTGCTGTCTGCACAGTAATTAAAAAGGACCAGGTAACCACTGATAAGAAAATTTCATCTATTTGGACTTTTGGAAGGCTGAGTAGATAATTGAGCCTTATAGCCCGACCCAGGATGTAGCAGTTGCCTTGGTTTTTCTATAAACAGTTGATTTCACTTAAATCTTGGAGGTCATCCAGACTAGTAATTTGAAGCGTAATCCAGCCATCACTGTGGCAATATAAAACATGTCTCATTAGTAATATATTGTTACAGCAGTGGCTGGAATGAGGCTATAAATTATCAACCTGAAGGAGTTCATAGTTACAAGCTATATATAATTGACTTTATTACTCATTCAGCATTTTTTGCATTTTTCTAGAGACTTAAACATTTACTAATGTATTGGGTTCAGATTGTAAGTACAATGCAAAATATTGCCTTTAGGATTATGCCATTTGTTCTTTTTAATTATTTTTTTTAAAGCATCTAGTATTAACATGTAAACAGAAGGCCTTTGTGCTTCAGACTGGCTGTGATATGTGCGTTTTTGTTTTTTTTCCCCTTTTGTTATTGTCAATAGAAAAGATTGATCACTGGACTGGTGAACGTAATAGCTGTCCCAGTCAGAAAAGGAGAGAGGAAATTAGCAGGAAGATTGGTGGAAAATGATATCTGTCAAAAGAAACACTTGGAGAGCACTGAGTTTAGTAATAGGTGACTGCCGGAAAAAAGGGAACTTTGAATTTTGCCAAGGTAAGGAACAGATTTGTAATTCAACATGCTGTTTTTGAGAAGAAAAATAATGATTTTTTTTGTCTTGTTTCTTAACTGTGTGTTTAAATCTCCTTGTTATCTTATATGTTTTCTGCTCCTCTTAAATTATTTGGTATCTAACATTATAAAGCTTTTGGATTGTAGATGGCAAATTTAAGAGAATCTATAAAAGAAAATGCCCCATTTACTTTTATCTCAAATGAGTGAAATGCCCAATTGAGGGGAAGAAGACAGATATGTAATGAACACATACACTTTGCCCCTGCCTGCAATTTCTTCCCCTCCAATTTTTGATTTAAACTTCAACAGCATCCATATACAATCAGACTTTCTCTCTATGGCTTCTTTCTCTGGTTTTTTCCAGAATCCCAGTTTCCAGGATATGCTAAAGAAAAATAAAGGCCTAAGCAGGATTTTAACTGCACTTCCTTATGGAAAGAGCCATCAGATATAGTCTGAGCAGTATATGTTAGCATTCTGCTGATTTGCTTTTAAGCCAAACTATAGCTAAGTGTGAGATCCTGATGCACTCAAAGGTTAAGTTTGGGTTGTTAGGTCCTTTCCCCAAGGGACAAAAAAAGATGAGAGACTGCAGGAGAAAAGGTTGACCATGATTATAGAATAGCCAAGCTATTCTTGGCTTAATTTTAAGAGCTGTGGTGTCAGAGTGGTTAGAATGCAGTATTGCAGGCTAATTCTGCCAACTGCCAGCAGTTTGATTTTCACCGGTTCAAGGTTGACTCAGCCTTCCATCCTTGCAAGGTCAGTAAAATGAGAACCGAGATTGTTGAGGACAATATGCTGACTCTGTAAACCACTTAGAGAGGGCTGTAAAGCACTGCGAAGAGATATATGTCTAAGTGCTATTGCTATTAATTTTAGGAAATCATTTAAGAAATTAAAAAAGCTGGAAAAGGGGTTCTTAAGGAACAATTGAAAAACAGTTTAAAAAGAGTGTGGTACACATCTGTTCTTAGAGATAGTTCCAGTATCTCTAATGTGGCACAGCAGAGAAAAAAGTATGAAGGTTTAAAGACTGTTTTATGCTTAGTATATCAATATTAGATCCAATATGTGCCCACAATATGAACAGGAATACTTTGAGTAGCAGGTGGCATATGTACGTGTGGGATGTTTGAGATGGCATATTTCCCTCCTTATCACACATAGACATTGTAGGTTTTCAATGTATATGATTGGCTCTTTAAAACTATACATGTCTACCCATTTATTCAGAAATAGATCCAGTGGCACTAATGAAGGAGTTGTAGACAGTAATTTAACGTAGCATCAACACTGCTTTTAAAGTTGGAATCATTTTATGATTTAGATATTTTTGACATTTTTGCAAATATGTCTTTGAGTTAAAATGAATGATTCTAAAGGAGTTGAAAGGGCAACATTTTGAATGTACCATTTGATCTATATAGATAGATACAGTAGATGAGGTATAAGGTACTTCCATTACAAATGACAGTCTTGGATTTTGGCAATCCATGATAAAATTTAGCTTTTTTCCCGCCCTTTGGGCTACAAAGACTTCCTTTGGCCATGTCTCTGCAAAAAGGGAAGGTACTAATCATTTATTTTCATGAAGTCCTACATAAACTATTTCAATCAGACCAGTTCTTATTAAATGTTCACCATCATTTCACTTTAGTTGATCAGCCTACAAATGGTTTTTTTTTTCTTTTTCAAATGATATATATGTTCATAATCTGCCTCGTACAAAATGTTTTGTGTCTCATTCCCTAACCGGTGTTTATCTGAAGTGCTGGGACTACAACTGCCAAAATTACCAGCAAGAATCTTCTCCAGCACTTATAGCTGTCTTCTCCAAAAGCCTAACTCTTTGGGGAATATTGGCCTTCTGCCATCATGTGAAACTCTGCAAAAGTTTTTGAACTTTTTTTTCTGGAGTACTTTAAATCCCATTTATTTCAGGGAAAAATAAAATACATCTTTGTTTCTCTTTTAGTGAATCAATATGTTTGAAAATCAAGTGGTTTATTGGATTAATAATAGATTTCAGAAAGTTTTGAATTGAAGGTCAACAAAACCTCCATTTTAAAATAAATTATGGCAATCTTCAGTTCATAGACATGCCTAGCTATCTCCCTGCCATCATGCCACTAAAATTCAGTAAGAAACTGGTGGTTACTATGTCTCACTTTTTCAGGTTTTTTTTCCGCCAAAGGTTATTTCACGGAGTCCCACCATAGAAATAATTTAATGTTATTGAGGGGTATTTACAGGGCTGCAGCAATGACCCCATGATAGACCAACCATTTTTACCCACATAGAAAGCCTAGTGTTTAATTACAGAATTGCAGAATTGCATCTTGTATTTTGTACTCTGCCCTGCACGTGGCCCATCTGATTGTGGAAAGATTTGTTTCTGACCCATTTTTTTTTTCTTTTTGTAATGGGAGGAGAGCTAGGTGTATTATTTTTCATTGGCTTTTAAGAGTTTTGTTTTGCTTCTGTTTGTAGTTTTAATTCTATTACAGTTTGTGGTTATAATTTTGTAAGCATACATTGAGATTGGGCAGTTTATATGTTATGCCAGATGATAAATGAATTACCTTGTAGATTTCCTTCAATGATCTTAAAGTCTTTTTCTTTTTTAGGTTTTTTTCACTATTTCTTACAAATATTTTTTCCTATTCTCTGGACAATGTCAGAATTTTTCAAACTGGGTTCCACAAAACACTAGGGTTCTGCTAAAGGTTGATGATTAAGTAACATGGTGTCTCAGTGGCTAAGATGCTGAGCTTGTTGATCAAAAGTTCGGCAGTTCAGCGGTTCGAATCCCTAGCGCCGCATGACAGAGTGAGCTCCCATTACTTGTCCCAGCTTCTGCCAACCTAGCAGTTCGAAAGCACGTAAAAAATGCAAGTAGAAAAATAGGGACCACCTTTAGTGGGAAGGTAACAGTGTTCTGTGCGCCTTTGGCATTTAATCATGCCGGCCACATGACCACAGAGACGTCTTCAGACAGCACTGGTTCTTTGGTTTTTAAACAGAGATGAGCACCACCCCCTAAAGTCGGGAATATGTACGAGGGGAACCTTTACCTTTTAAAGGTTGATGGTCTTCTAAGTTAAAAAAAAAAAGCTCATTGGAACACAGCCAATTTTATGTCACTAGAGTTTTTCCCCTTGATCACGGGTTCCAGAATATCTTTTTTTAAAATAATATGTTACAAGAAGTTACACTGTCTGAAAAAGTTTGAAAACCACACTTCCTTCAGTCCTTAAAACTCAATCCTTCCTATCTCTAGACTTCAAAATAGGTTGCTCTGTTTTTGCAAAATCTCTAGGTTGCTTGTCCCTATCTAAAAGCATCTACTCATTAGTAGGCACTTATGAGATTGGAAATTTGGCCACTGATCTTAAACCTAGCTAAATTTTTTCAAACAAATTGAGAAGCAATGCTGCCTTTTGAAATCATGTCAGGAAAGAACAATGCATACAGCAGCCTTCTTCCAAGGTTTAGCTTAATGGATGTATTTCCTTTACATTTTTAAAGAAGTTGCCCTTTCAATGGTGTGATTAAGTATCAGATTTCATCTGCTTGCTAATGAAAAACAGAGATGAAACAAGCCTGAAATATCAGCATTACTTCCTCCAGAGACCTGTAAAAACGGTTAAGTCAGGTGGCCCATAGACTGCCTTATTTCTTATTTGCTATTTAGACTTGCAGTGGTGAAATAAAATGGTTACACTATTAAACCACTTGTCCACTGCAGTTCTTGGAAGGGTTTCCATTTCTATCCTGTGTCTTTAAAAATAATAAGATAGACATTGTGTTGAGGATCAGAGAGAGAGAAACAGCTTCACATCCCTACCCAGCTATAGAGTTCTTTCATTCTCAGCCAAGCCACAATACAAGGATATGGCAACAAGAGTAACCCACAGACGTATGCCTGGAGAGACTCAAAATGTGGACATAATAATAATAAGCAATTTGGAGAATAATGAGAATTACAATCCCAAGATAGGAATTTTATTTATTGTATGTGTGTGTAGGCAAGTCAAGTATGGACTCCTGGTGTCTGCCTGGATTAGTCTCTGCAATTTTCTTGGCAAGATTTTCAGAAGTGGTTTGGCATTACCTGCTTCCTGGGAACTGAGAGAGAGAATGACCCAAGATCACCCAAGATCAGTAGTGGGATTCAGCTGGTTCTCTCCGGATCACGCGAACCGGTAGTGGTGACTGCGGGAGGCTCTGCCCACCCGCCCGGATGTAATGCGCAACTACTGCACATGCGCAAAAGACTGTGCACATGCGCAGAGGTGATACATGTGAGCGAAGTGAGAGTGTGTGTGCGTGCTCACATTTGGGAACTGGTAGGAAAGATAAGTGAATCTCACCTCTGACCCCGATGGCTTCATGCTTAAAGTGGGACTAGAACTCCTGGTCAGTCAGTTTCTAGTCTGGTGCCTTAATCACTACACCAAGCTGGCTCTTTATTACTGTGTTATAATTTTGCTTGTTCAGGAGAAAGATCATTAGGTCAACAATAATAGTTTTTATTACCGTTTCAATTTAAAAGTTTCACCACCACAGAACCTAGAATTGACATATTACAAAAGCTTAAATTAATTATTACATTAATATCCCAGTTTCCTTCAAGGGATACTTGGGATAGAAGTGTAATCAATTTTGCAGAATACTTTCAGTTGTAATTAACCAGACAGTATTTTCATAAGCGAACCTACAACAAACTATGGAACACCCTTTGGTTAGTTTCATTTAGGCATACAGCACACACAACAGCATAAGACATAGCAATTTAAAAAATCATATTTATGTGTGGTGTGAATGCACTTTGTTAAGGTTTCAGGACTGCCTCGACCCCTAATAAAAGGTTCATCTGGCTGTGTAGGAATTCTTACTCTTTATATAAGTTGCATTTATTGATCATTTTAATTTCTTACTTGTTTTAATTTGTTGATGCTTATATTTGTTTAAAA